CACCTCCAAATCTGAGGCCATGGTTCTCAGTCAGAAAAAGGTGGATTGCTCTCTCTCCAGGTTGGGAGCGAGTTGTTCCCGCAAATGGAGGAGTTCAAGTATCTCAGGGTCTTGTTCACACGTGAGGGAAAAATGGAGCGGCAGGTTGACAGACCGGTACAGAGACTGCATTACTGCGGACACCTCACCAATCCGTTGTGGTGAAGAAGGAGCTGAGTCATAAGATGAAATTCTTAATTTACTGGTTGATCTATGTTCCTATGGCCATGAACTCTGGATCATGACTGAAAGAATGAGATCGTGGATACAAGCGGCAGAAATGAGTTTCCTCCGGAGAGTGGCTGGGCGCTCCCTTAGGGATAGGGTGCGGAGCTCAGTCACCCGTGAGGAGCTCAGAGTAGAGCCACTGCTCCTCCACGTTGAGTGGAACCAGTTGAGGTGGCTCGGCATCTGTTTAGGATGCCACCTGGATGCCTCCCTGGGGAGGTATTCTGGGCATGTCCCTCCGAGAGAAGGCCTTGGGGCAGACCCAGAACATGTTGGAGAGACTATGTCTCCCGGCTGGCCTGGGAATGCCTTAGGGTTCCTCCTGAGGAGCTAGAGGAGGTGTGTGGGGAGAGGGAAGTCTGGGAGGCTCTGCTTGAGGTACTGCCCCCGTGACCCAGTCTCAGATGAAGCGGATGAAGATGGATGGATGGCAGTAACTTCCTATGGCTGGTTGCCTGGCAACCTCAAGGTGATAAGACTTCAGGAAGTCAGTGTTGAACATAAAATCACCTGGTGCTTATATAACCACACATAAAACCACATTGTTTTTACACTCTGGTTTTTGTGTGGATCAAACAAGAAAAAACATGTTAATCAGTGAAAGTGAAAGATGCGTTTCTTTTTGGCAGACCCAGGGCTATTTGTGTCCCAGATAAAAGATCTTCCCATCTAACTATAGGCAAGAATGCCAACATGTGTTTTTCACAAAATGTCAGCCTATTCCTTGATTTCTAATGTTTGATTGTGTGCCCAGTATTGCCTTTCTCAGCTTTATTGCTTACAGAATCACAGTTCCTGCATAAATTGATTTCTTCTAGAGCTTAATTTCTTTGGGTTCATTATGATTTACCTTGACTGACGAGTGCAGTATAAGATGATGTATTTCTGAACACCAAGCCCATCTATTTGCATTAAAGTCCCAAAATGACACATTCATTAGATGGATAAAAAAAAATTTTAGGGACTCACATGAGATTTAGTTTCTCAGGATCATATAAACTCTCTTTCAGAGATCTAGTCATTAACATTGTACTAACCCTCCACACATGAGAAACTCGCTGGATGGCCGACGACATGCTCCCATTGGTTGGTCATCTGAAGAGAGAAAGATAAGGAACGAACAGAAAAGAACAATGAAGGTGCAACTGCCATTACTGATGGTACAATTCAGCAGTAATGAGGTGATTAACTGCCAGTTGAAATGCCACCTGATACTCATCATGCTTTGCACTTTGTTCATTGTTTGAGTGGGGGACTAGCAGGTACAGGCAAGTGTGTGTGTGTGAGGTGTAGCAGGTGCAGAGCGTTAAGGGTTCATTTTACCAGTCACGAGGGTAAGTGTGCAGGTTACTGTTTGTGGGCTGTTGCCTACAATTACATGAACTGCTTAGCAGTTATCTAATTTAGTGACTGTGGAGTTGGCAGTGTGCTATGTAAGAGTATGTGACCACGGGTGCCATAGGTGTCGCTGGCAGCCAGTGAATGTGACTTCATTACATACGAACTGTAGCCATGGTGTGTCTGTAAAATCAGTATAGTTTCAAAACATCTGTGTACTTGTACAGAACACATGTTCATACATGTCTATGTACAAGACATGTTCATGAATGTGTTTATTTCTGTGACTACATGTAATTCATACCATTGTGAAGTATGTCAACAAGTAAAATTCATAGATTGGCCGATGGCTATTTATATCTTACAGTATGAGGTTTAACTGTGCTATTGTTCCCCTGTTTCTGCTCTTCCTTTACATGTTTCCTCAGTGTATAAATCAAGCCTGTATGACTTTACAATGCAATGGCTTAACAAAAAGGAAGAATTACTCCTTCTGAAAAGATAACTAGCTTTCGGTTCTTCATTTATAGGATTCCAGAGCTGCACGACAGCCTGTCTGCCACTCATCATATGAACTGTCCGTCTATGCAAGTACAGTATTAATGTACAGGCTAATGTCAGATCCCACAAGAAACATATACTGATATATACTGTTAGCTACTGTCTAACTGATGAAAATAACATACAGGCTCCCTCGTTGTAAACATTTCACACTGTGGGATCTATAAGATTTGAGACTGACAAGATTTTTTATATTATTTACTTAAATAAATACTCTGAAGCTCTAAGTCTAAGGGACTCTAAACTTAACAAAAATTGTGTCTTTATTTCACCTCTCTGCAACAGTTTGACTAAAAACTAAACATTATCACCTTCATGAAGTTATAGGACTGTTATACTTTATATATAACAGTTATAGGCTGACTTGGTTTTAGCTTGGTGTACTTAATAAACTAGCAACTGTGTGCATATCAACATTAACTGAGATGAAGTCACAGCTGTATTATGTGTATGTACAGTGTGTGTAACAACACTTACAGCTGTCAGTGGAGATGTGAGGCACCAGGACAAAGTCATCAGTGTCACAAGATGAATTCTTACTACTGGTGCTTTCTCCAGACTCTTTGGACAGCTGCAGAATGTTAGGGGGACCGAGTGGAGATGATGAAAGACCATCTTCTGTTAAAGTCTGCATGTCTGGGAGAGACTGTGTGCAGACAGAAAGAGATGGAGTGAGAGAGAAGAGAGGGAAGAGAAAATGACAATGAATTTGTAGTGTGGCTCGTGAGTGATGCAGTTAAGGCTTTCAGCCATGGCACTAGCAGCAGCGCTTGAGCTAGCAGTGGCTGATGATCCTGCACATTATGACCAAAAAATTATGAGTAAACTTGTCTGTGAAATTGACTTTTTGAAGGATTGGACTGTTTTTAAAATTGGCTTGCAACATTACAATAAAGATTTGATGAAGGCTTTGTTTATTGTCCCCATTTTGGACATCATGTTTTACTTTCCAGCACTCAAGCAGCAAGCAGGCATAATAGTAGCACAATACCATGGAGTCGAGGTTAATATTTTATTACCTTACAGTACAAGAGTAAACCCCTTGAGAATTAGGATTTATAAAGTCATATCAAACTCACAGGAGGAGAATTGAAGCGGATGCATGGTGAGCTGCCACAGGAACTGTCTGTCACTGTATTGGAGGCACTGGGGACCAGCACCGGACATGCTGCGACAAAATGAACAGAGAATTAATCATGTTTTCAAGATGGACAATGAGAAAGTCTAGTACATTATGTTATGATGCTTAGGAATCTGAGCATCTGACTCTCCTTGAACCGCCATCTTATGGTGGTGGAGGGGTTTGAGAACCTGAGTGATCCTAAGAGCTATGTTGTCGGGGGCTATATGCCCCTGGTAGGGTCTCCCAAGGCAAACAGGTCCTAGGTGACGGGTCAGACTAAGAGCGCTTCAAAAAGCCCTTTATGAATAGGTTAAAATCAAGGACCTTGGTGTTGCCCAGCATGGCGCAGCCAGGGCCCCACCCTGGAGCTGGGCCCGGGCAGGGACAGTGACACCTGGAGGGGCGTGATTGGGAGGAATGGCCCCCCCGATCTGAACCTGAGTGGTGTTCTGTTACTGGACTTCTGTGCTAGTCAGTTTGTCCATAACAAACACCATGTTCAAGCATAAGGGTGTCTAACAGTACACATGGTTTTTCAGTCGGAAAAGGATGGCTTGTTCCCTTCAGGTTGGTGGAGAGCTCCTGCCTCAAGTGGAGGAGTTTTAAGTATCTTGGGGTCTTGTTCACAAGTGAGGGAGGGATGAAACAGGAGATTGACAGGCAGATCAGTGCAGCTTCTGCAGTAATGCGGTCAATGTACCAGTCCGTCGTGGTGAAGAAAGAGCTGAGCTGCAAGGCGAAGTTCTCAATTTACTGGTCAATCTACGTTCCTACTCTCTCCTATGGTCATGAGCTTTGGGTCATGACCAAAAGGGCAAGATCCCGGATACAGGCGGCCAAAATTAGCTTTCTCCACGGGGTGGCGGGGCACTCCGTTAGAGATAGGGTGAGGAGCTCGGTCACCCAGGAGGAGCTCAGAGTAGAACAGCTGCTCCTCCACATCGAGAGGAGCCAACTGAGGTGGCTCGGGCATCTGTTTTGGATGCCTTCTGGGCGCCTTCCTGGGGAGGTGTTCCGGGCATGTCCCACCGGGAGGAGGCTCCCGGGAAGACCCAGGACACGCTGGAGGGATTATGTCTCTCGACTGGCCTGGGAACGCCTTGGAGGAGCTGGAGGAAATGTCTAGGGAGAAGGAAGTCTGGGCATCTTTGCTTAGAATGCTGCCCCCGCGACCCGGTTCCGGATAAGCGGAGGAAGAAGGATGGATGGAAAGTCTAGTACATTATTTTATGATGCTTAGGAATCTGAGTAGTGTGCTTACATTTTTTGATGGTGGAGTACGGCTCCAGGAAAGGATGGCTGAAAAACGTGTCTGAAGTGAAGAGTTGGAGAGACAGAACACACCAGGAAGTTTTATACAAATATCAAGACAGATCTCAAAAGTATGTGAAATCAAACCTGAAACATGTAATATTTAAAAACATCACATTATATCAGCACTTACTGAAGTCCATCCTGTCTTTCTGATTTCTTTGTAGCAGCCCAAGCAAAAGGTCACTAAGTTGTGGGGATGTCTCCCTTGGGATACTGAGTAACAGGAGCATGGGAACACTATTAAGTTCTTTGCATGTCACATTGTGCCAGATAGATCTAAGTCTTGGTCACAATACAACAACAGTTTTGAGACGTGTCAGATGCACCATGACGTAAAATAAACTAACTAAATAAACTAAGAGTTTACAGTCACTTTATTGGCCCTATGAGCTGTGCTTATCCAGTCATGAACCCAACTAGTTGACAAATTACAATTTTGACCCACATATGATACTAGGTTAAAAGATCAGAAAGTTATTATAACTAATCTTAAGAAAAACATAAATATGAGTGCCAATTTACATGGCACTGCATCTGAATCCTGTTGACATGCTTCAAAACAAAAAGCTCCTCCAGTTGGGGTCCTTAGAGGAAAAGTTGGAGGATCACCAATATCAGTAGGATTCGTTGTCGGTCACAAAGATTTTACCACAGTTTTTCCTCAGTTGTCACATTTCATCTGGCACTGCTCAAAATCACAACAGTGTAAAGTAGCCTTAAAGACAGTAAGTTTTGTAACTTACATAGGTTGTAGATTCTTGTTTTTTTCATAGAACATCCTCAGGTCTTGGGGACTATTGGCCTGAAAAGATCAATTTAGAAATTAGATGAAAAGAAATACCTACAAACACATTTGCCACTGGTTTGTTGTGTACAGTATCAACCTGGAATGGCGGTTTGCCAACCAGACACTGGTAGATGACCGTCCCGATGCTCCACAGGTCAGCTTTGGCATCATAGTTCTGGGACATGATAACCTCCGGGGCCTGAGGGAGGAAAGGTCACAAGATCCACAGCAGGGAGAGTTATGCAAGATATTGCTGAGAAAGCTGACTGGTCATTTAAAAAATACTGACCTCCAAAAACATACAAAACACAAATGCATACAAAACACATGCAGTAAAGCACACTGACCATGTACATGGGTGACCCACACAGTGTGGCAGCCATCATATTGCTCTGGAGGTACCGTGCAAAGCCAAAGTCAGCTGCAGGACAGAAGTATGAAATAAACTGGTTACTGCTGGGATCTGGAAACTGTCTGAGAGACAAACACTAGGAACAGTAACACATGGGTTAAAGGATGTTTTACCTATCTTGATGCGGATGCCACTGATGTTGGACTTCTTGCGACCCACATAGGACAGCAGGATATTCTGGGGTTTCAGGTCACGGTGGATGATTCCTTTGCTGTTGAGAATGCGCATGGCAGCAGCAATCTGCTGGAGGAAAACCCTGAGTGTTTCTTCTCTCAGGGTCCCCTTAGCTAATGAAGAGGAGAGAAAAACATGAAAATAATCCAGAACTGAATTGACTGAGAACTCTTATATGAGTTTCATTTTTCCACCTTATGGCAGATCTGCTTCCTCAAGTAAATTTGCTTATTAAGATGCACATTTGCTTATTAAGATGCACCCTCTTGCCTATATTGTCCAATCATGCATCTGGATAATTAAATTTTGCCTGTTGATCTCATTCTGGTGCCTCCTTCTGCCTAACATAGTGCATGACTGGTTTCTTTGGTCTGCACTCACATGAGGCAAAAGTAAGACTAACCACTGTAAAAACATCAGAATCAGAATCAGCTTTATTGGCCAAGTGTGTTGGACACAAGAGGAATTTGACTCAGGTACATCAGCTCTCAATGTGCAAACAGTAAACTAGCATATGGCTGTGTAATATAACAAAATAGCAGTATTAACATCAACAACCAGTGCAAACAATGCAGAAAAAGCAGTATAAATAGACAGTAAACAATGCAGACAACAAAGGAATGTTCAATGAAATGAGATAATTAGGGATCTCCACTGTTTTGAGCGTGTTCAGCTCCAGGTTGTTGCGGCTACACCACAGGACTAGCTGCTCAACCTCCTGTCTGTAGGCTGACTTGTCATCGTCTCGGATGAGACCAATGACCGTTGTGTCATCTGCAAACTTTAGGAGCTTGATAGAGGGGTCCTTCGAGATGCAGTCATTGGTGTAGAGTGAACATAGCAGAGGGGAGAGCGCACATCACTGGAGGGCACCAGTGCTTATTGTCCAGGTGCTGGATGTGGTTTTCCCCAGCCTCACTTGCTGCTTCTGTCTGTCAGAAAGCTAGTAATCCACTGACAGGTGGGGGCAGGCACAGTGAGCTGGGTCAATTTGGAGTGGAGGATGTCTGGGATGATGGTGTTGAATGCAGAGCTGAGGTCGACAAAGAGGGCCCGTGAATACGTCCCTGGGGACGTATGCACAGTGAACATGGTAATGCAGTGCCATGTTCACTGCATCGTCCACTGACCTGGTTGCCCGGTAGGCAAACTGCAGGGGGTCTAGCAGGGGGTCAACAATGTCCTTCAGGTGGGCCAACACCAGTCTTTCAAAGCAGCTGATCAGCACACACTTTCAGGCAGGAGGGGGTCACACCATCTGGGCCTGGTGCCTTTCTGATCTTTTGTCTTTTAAAGAGGCCACGCACATCCTTTCCACTTTAGAGGTGGGGGGCTGGAGGGAAGGGTGGTGATTGTTGAGGGAGCAGCTGCTGGGTCTGAGGTGGGGAGGGTGAGGAGTGTTGATTGTCAAACCTGCAGTAGAACACATTCAGGTTGTCTGCTAGTTGACGGTTCTCCACAGCAGGGGGGGGTGGTTTTCTATAGCCAGTGATGCTTTTCAGGCTCCCCCACACAGACGAGGGGTCATTGGCTGAAACCTGAGCTTTCAGCTTTTCCGAGTAGCTCCTCTTTGCTGCTCTGATCTCCCTTGTCAGTGTGTTCCTTGCCTGGCTGTACAGAGTCCTGTCCCCACTTCTGTAAGCCTCCTATTTGGCATGACGAAGCTGCTTGAGTCTGGCTGTAAACCAGGGCTTGTTGTTGTTGTATGTGCAGAAGGTCTTTTTGGGCACACACACACATCCTCACAAAAGCTGATATAAGATGTCACAGTGTCAGTGAGTTCGTCCAGGTCTGTGCACAAACATGCATTAACTTTGTTCTTTTGTACTGAAGCTGCTCCTTTATTAGAAAACAGTGGAGAAGGGACAATATATTGAAATTCAATATATCATGACACAAAAGCATCACAATATGTATCATTTTGTAAAGCGATCTATGTTGTGTGGCTTCCACACATCATCGACTTCATATTTCTTGTATATATATCAGAATATAAGGCAGTATGTCTGGTTGTTCTTTACATAATTTACATAATCGAACCAGTGCTAGAAAAGGGGAACAACAGAGGAATAAGGTACAAGTGTCCCACAGCTACTCATATTGCTGTCACTGAACTTCTAATTGTATTGTGATTGAATCGAATCGTACATGCCATATCGTGTACCAAATTATATCAAGAAAAAGTCGCATTGTCCCATCCCTAGAAAATATAACTACCCTAGTAAAAACAAGCATCTGCAGTTCCACAAAAAGTTCTTATCAATGACAGTAAATTAAAGTTAAATGCTATAGTAATAATCCTGAGGTAAATAGTCTAATCTGATATGAGAATAAAAGGATTCCTCTCCCCCTCTCTCATTCTCCTTCTCCCTCTATTTCTATGAAGCCACTGTGATGACAGCAGTGTTCACAACCTTGGGAAACGAGAAGCCCTGAACTGGTAAAAACGTGGTCCCAATGATCAAAGATTTCAAGATGGGCAGCCAGTTGGGTACAGTTGGGTCACCAGTGCAATGTAACACTGAACACTACTCCACTATGGTTTCATTTTACAACCAGTGTCTCTCCAGCAGAGGCTCCTACATGACCCTGCCTTCGACAGGTCTGATCATAACTCACTCTGTAATCTGTTAGGTATTTTTAGTCAGATAAAAATTGGATAGATACTTTATGTATTATAAATGTTTAGTGGAGATAGGATACCTAGTTAGACTGTTAAATGCTTAGGCATGCTTATGAGTTTCTACAGGGTACATCTGGTCAAGGATAACTAGAGAGAAGAGTTGATGACTGTCAGCAGACAGGGTGTTTAATATTATTATTATGACGTGTATAACTGTAGCCATAGCCATAATATGTTCTTATGTTTAAGTCACAACATGTTACTAGAGGTCGTGTGAGAATGTTTTTAGCTACACACCACTTAATCAACAGACACACACACACATTGATTTGCTTCATGTTTTGACTACTGCTATGGCCAGCTGCAAAGCTGGTAAGAGAGACGTCTCGGTTGACGTTTCTGTGTAGTATGGGGCTAGCCCAACCGAAGGGATATAATGTATAGGCCTGGTGGGTTCAGGGTTTTTCATCTTTCATCTGCCTGCGTGCAGGTTGGAGGTGCAAGATGCCTGAGCGTGTAATGTTAATTTTTGCACTACTGTGTTCATGGAATAAATCAGCACTGTTTTGTAGTTACTTGGACTGCCTCGTCTCTCAGGGTCAGTATGGTAAAAAGTACCGGGTACAACAAATCTGAAAATGTAGACATGTGGGGCAGGTATATTATGCAAACGTACAGTGATAAGGAAGCAGTTTCTATAACACAATCAGTGCTGTTAACCACATGAGGTTATCTAAGAGAGGTATTAGCAAACCACCATTCATTTGTAGGGGTATTTTATAAGCATTCAGTGAGCTCTTTTTTTTCTTTAGACTCTCAACATCTATGTCAAATGTGATGTTTACCATTTTGAAGCTTAAATAGCATATGATCAATAAACTAAAAAAAACAGTATGTAAACAGTTAAGTACTGACATTCTTATGGCAGTAAAGCAAAACTCTTTATCTGTGTGTGTATTCACAATCTTTCCTAAAGTACCACCTTTCATGTGTTTGAGGAAGAGACTTGTATTTTTATGAATAGGTCGCTGGCTGCATCAGGAAAGTTTATTAATGCCAGGATTACTGTAGACATTGATTTAATAACGCTGTTATGTACACTGCAAAAACACTAACACAAAAGTTGACACTGTGGTTTTCTCATTTGCAACTTTGATCCTAGCTATGAGTGTGACATGCTATGCCCATGACATCACTGGCAACATGAACATGGCTACACCACAGTGATCATGTCAAACTAGTAGGTGACAGTACAGTTACAGAAGCTATGACTAGGAGTGAGTCTTGTGTTTGACCTTCACCAGTGTTAACACACATCATGGAATCCATGATATTTATGCTACAGCTTTACTGGCAAGGCCCAGAGGACCACATCATTGATGAAAGACACACTAGTATGTGTACATTTGGATTGTTTTGTGTTATTCACTTTTACCTTTTGGTATATGGGGGTTCTGAACCATGTTAAACTGAACTTCCAAACATCACTTCCTATTGTGCATCATTTCATATTAAGCTAACCACAACCAGGAATGCTGACCTTTGTTATAGACTATCACACCCAGAATAAACAGTGTGTTGACTGACTGAACTAGACAAGAAACTCTGTACAAAGCTGCGGTGCCCACCACACACACACCACCCACATATAGTAGCAAACTGAGACATAGAAACAGTTGCAGAAAAACATGTTCTTTAACATCCCCATGACACACTAATTATTTTACAATATATCCATCAGACAGTTAATAATAATCTGTGAACATGCCGACACCCACCCTCATTAAAGCTGAAGTGCCTTTCTCCTGTGGCATTAGCAAGTGTTTGTGAGCATTTGGGTCAGATAGATTAGTGTGATGCTTACCTTGCAGATAGTCAGCAAGATCACCTCCATTACAGTACTGTGTGTAGGAAGAGAAACAGTCACTCTCAGCAACAATTAAATTCAGGTTCAATGATGGCATTATTTGTGGATGTGTTTGATTGTGCCAGTGTATATGTGCATGACTCTTTGTTGAAATTCTGGCCTAGATATTAGCAGGGCCATCAATTAATCAACTGAAGGGCTGTAGATTTTTCGGTGCTGGCAACCTCTGCTCGAGTGCAGTTACAGTGCCTTGCGAAAGTATT